GTGAGTAAGCATGGCCCGCTGGAATGTCTTACTGCTTAGGGAAGCGGGGAACACGTGACATTAGGTAATTTCTGAAAGGAAACTCCATATGAGCTTGCTGATTACAGCGACGCTACTGTGCAAAATTCAACCGCACCACGCTACTCAAGGCAGCCAAATAGTTCTTCAGGGTGAAATACATAGTGGTACAATTGATAGTGTGTGCGCTCTCTCTTTCTCTCCACAGATAGATAGATGATAGATGATAGATAGATAGATAGATAGATAGATAGATAGATAGATAGATGATAGAGGATAGATAGATAGATGATAGATGATAGATAGATAGATAGATAGATAGATAGATAGATAGATGATAGATAGGATGATGATGATGATGATGATGATGATGATAGATCATAAATAGATGATGATAGATGATAGATAGATGATAGATAGATGATAGATGATAGATGATAGATGATAGATAGATAGATAGATGATAGATAGATAGATAGATAGATGATAGATAGATAGATAATGATGATAGATAGATAGATAGATAGATAGATATCGATAGTAGATATAGATAGAGATAGATAGATAGATATAGATAGATAGATAGATAGATAGATGATAGATAGATAGATAGATGATAGATAGATAGATAGATAGATAGATAGATAGATGATAGATAGATAGATAGATGATAGATAGATAGATAGATAGATAGATAGATAGATGATAGATAGGATGATGATAGATGATAGATATAGATAAATGATAGATGGAGAGATAGATAGATGATAGATAGAGAGATGATAGATAGATGATAGATAGATAGATATAGATAGATGGAGAGATAGATAGATGATAGATAGAGAGATGATAGATAGATGATAGATAGATAGATAGATAGATAGATATAGATAGATATAGATAGATAGATAGATAGATAGATAGATGATAGATAGATAGATAGATGATAGATAGATAGATAGATAGATAGATAGATAGATAGATAGATAGATGATAGATAGATAGATGATAGATGATAGATAGATGGATAGATGGATAGATAGATAGATAGATAGATAGATAGATAGATGATAGATAGATAGATAGATGATAGATAGATAGATGATAGATAGATAGATAGATAGATAGATGATAGATAGATAGATAGATAGATAGATGATAGATAGATAGATAGATGATAGATAGATAGATAGATAGATAGATAGATAGATAGATAGATAGATGATAGATAGATAGATGGATGATAGATGATAGATAGATAGATGATAGATAGATCGATAGATAGATAGATCGATAGATAGATAGATGATAGATAGATAGATAGATAGATAGATAGATAGATAGATATAGATACAGATAATAGATAGATAGATGATAGATAGATGATAGATGTAGATAGATCGATAGATAGATAGGATGATGATAGATGATAGATAGATAGATGATAGATGATTGATAGATGATAGATAGATAGATAGATAGATAGATAGATAGATATTAAAACTAAAGGTCTGCTTTTTAAATGCTTTTAACGTTCCACACCTTAGGTCCAGGATACCTTATGGCCTACCTCCTTAGTATCTTCCAGCCTTCTCCCTAGACCAGAAGGAGAAGCCCTTCTCTGTGTCTCACCTTTAGTGCTAGACTGCCAGGGGCCATGATGAGTTTTCCTAATGGTCTGCCTTGTCCATTGTCCATTGAATAATTGGGTGTCATAAGCATGGTGCTTTTGGGTCAACAGTACCTCCTATGGTGCCTAGGAAGACTCAGGATGGTATTCAACTAAACTTTACTCAGACTAGACCCACTGAAATCAATGGCCATGACAAAATTAGGCTCATTGCTTTCAACAGTAAAACTTAGTTGAATACCAGTAATAGTCAGTAAATATCCTCTCATACATCCATAATACAGGAAAGACTGTTTGCTCTTCCTGTCCAGTTACTGTCTGTATTGGATCAGCCTCTCCTGCAATGACCCCCCCCCCAGTCCTTTAAAGATGCTCACATAACATTAGATGAAAGGATTGGATGGACACTCCCTTCTGCCACTATCAGAGCAAGAATCAAGGCAACCATATTTAAGGCAACCACCAAAATTCTTATTCATACTGGATGACATCGCAATGCAGGAGGGAGCAGTTCTTCCCCAGCTCAAATTGATATCTAAAGTAGAGAAGAAACGTCAAAGGGAATACACCCAGTTTAGATAACAGGCGCACATTACAAGTGTACGAAATTAATATTCTGAACTGAATCATTGTGGGTGTTGGAAGCACTGCTAATTCTGCCTTCTGTTTTGCAGAATTACAACTAGTTTCCAACTCTGAAAACAGTGATTTACCAAGCACAAAAACTGCATATACAAGGGATTCTTCAGCATTAAGGTGGGGTTTTTGATCAAGGGTAACTTTCTGCTTTGAAACAAACCAATCAGCAGCACTGGTTTAAGTGTTGCAAATTAACAACAAGCAGTTTAACATGCGGGTGAAACAGAGAGAGGAAAGTAAGAAGTGTCCATTGAATTTTGATTAATGCAACATTTGGATAAAGTTGCCTGTGAGGAAGAAAAAGGCTAAGGTAAATAAAGAGTGCTAGGAATTTGCAATATGTCAAGGTCAAAGTTTAGTCTAAAGGACTCATAATTAACGGGCAGAGAAAGGAGGAATGAATCCCCCAAACCAAATACAAACTAAGGGAGAGGCAAAGTCTAGCATTTGGGACAGAGCAAATTATTATTATCTGAAAATTTCACAACATGTTTTGAAAACCGCTTTTCTTGGGGGAAAACATTATTCATGTATCTCATACCAGTTAAAACAATTAACTCATTTGCATGCCGACAAATCCTGCCCCCAACACCCCGGTGTATTCTGCTTTTACTTTAGACCTTCTCGTATTGCTGGAACTTCTTTAGGCCTGGGGGCTGCCTTCACTTACGGAAAACTTTACAGAAGCTACATGCCAGTAGTAAGTGGGGCCCGAAGCAGAAGTGGGTGAAACAATTGTTGTACGTTTTACCATTTAACAGAAGGTTAGTTTCTACACACACACACACATATGCTTTCTATCCAGGCAAGCAAGGGGCATCATAAGAGTTCAAGAAGGCATTCTAGCCAGGCAAAAGCCATTCCAGGTGTGAACAAGGACCAGTGAGGGGTGAGGACCAAAGAGAGCCTCCAGGGCTAGATAGAGAGACCTGAAAGACCACATTCAGAAGGAAGTCTGAAAGTGTATTCTAAGGACATTTGGGCAACAGGCCCTTAAATCCCTATTCACATGTAGAAACCCATCCTGTTAAGTCAGGTTACCCAGGATTTTCCTCCCAACGTCTAGCATGCAGCCAGCATGTGCCCTACCCTGTGCCCTACCCACTTTCATCCCACATGCATCCAGGTGAATGCCTGAACTGGGCTGGTTTCTAGTCCAAATGAGCTCAGTCTGGAAGCCATTTATAAATAGCTCATCAGGACCTTTGTTTGCCAGCCATGGAAAACAATGCAGTGAGTCTCATCGTAAGAACCCAGCAATACTCTCAAAAGACTCTTTCCCTGTCTACTTTAGACAGTATTAAGGGAGGATTAGACACATCAATGGGGGATAAATCCAACACTGGCTTCTAGTGATGATAAATCTATGCTTCCTCCAAGTTCATATGCAGTATTTCACCACATGCCAACAGGAGAAGGGATGCCCACAATGTCTTGCTTGTGAGCTTCTCAAACGAATTTGATAGACCACTGGGGCAAACAGGATGCTGAAATAGATAGAAGATTGGCCTGATCCAGCAGACATCTTCTTAGGTTCTTCTCAAGCCCACTTCCCTCATGGCAGAGATATAGCAAAGCACTCAGCATTTCTTCCTTTCTTCGGTGCTGACTATTGTTTTCTCCCAGAAGAAAAAGAAGAAAGTTTATTCTCTCAAGCTTTGTCATTCCTATTTCTCGATGGGTCACCAGCAAATTGATGCTTTAATTGTGCTATTGATTTGTGCCATTAGCTTAAACACTGACGGATGTGAAAGGAAAACAACACTAAGTGAGGCTATTCAACAAAGCTGCTTCCCAGCACATTACCATAAAGCAATGGTGGCAAACATGTCTTCAACGTGATCTTTTGTTTGAATGGAATAGGCCACAAGGGGTACCGTAAAGAAATATGAATAAATCAAATCCACCCTATTTTCAGCAAACAAAATAGTGGCTGTGACTCGATGAGCAAATATTTCTTTCTGTAAATGTAGCAAGATTTTTAAAAAGGTTATGTGGGAAATTCATGCACTGTGTCTCGTTTACCTTGACAGGGGGAACATTTAATGGCATTTTCTCATTGTGCTGCACAGGATGAGTAAACTCTAATTGTGGATGATGCAGTGTGGCAAAACAGCAATGTTATGTGCAATGCTCACTTGGCACCTGAATTGTTCAGTTACCTACATAGCTGTCATATGGTGACATATGAATCAGCTTTCAAAGTTCCATACATTGATTTGGGCACAGTACTGAAAACACAGTGGGAAAATAGCATTTAGGGGGGGAAACTGCCATCAATATTTTCATCTCCTTACTGTATTTTCCAAAATGACTGCTAATGTTTTTCAATTCAGTTGTCCTGAGATGTCTTAGTCCACTCTGGTGAGAAAGATTAATGAGATTGTAGTTTGTTTAGTGTGCGAACTGGAGGAACAGAAATATGGTCTCAAGCTCTTGCCGTTATATCCTCTGAGAAAGGGAAGGAAAGAGCATTGTGGGAGCTGTAGCTTGCAGTGAGTAGCTACTGTTAAAAATGAGGAGCATATTGATGGAAAGTGTATTCACTTCAGAAATCCAAAATCTTTCTGAAACTTCATATGTTGATTCAAATCACAAACCTAACCACGTTCACCACAGCAAAAGAATATCCTGCTTGAATTCTCTATATGTTCTAGATATCTAGAAAACTGTCACTTGAAGATGCAATCAAGAGTCTCAGTTAAAGAGGCGGAGACCGCGCGGAGCGGAGCAGCTGCTGGTTCTTCCTCTCGGGTCCCGCCCCCCAAAAAAAGTACCGTTTCCCTCCTCTCACCTAACGGTTATTGCAAACATGGCCACCAGCTTCCTCATGCATGAAAAGATCTGGTTTGACAAGTTCAAATATGATGATGCTGAGAAGAGATACTATGAACAGAAGAACGGTCCAGCTGCTAGCCCCTCCTGCCAGCAGGAGAACGGAGCCAGCACGATCCTACGCGACATTGCCAGAGCCAGGGAGAATATCCAGAAGTCGCTGGCCGGAAGTGTGAGCAGCACTTCCGCAGCAGGACCGGCTGGGGACCAAAGTGAGCTGGTCACCAGGATCGCGACCCTGGAGGCAGAGAATCAAAACCTTCGTTGTGTGGTTACAGACCTTCAGCTTGCCATCTCCAGACTTGAGAACCGCCTGAGTCTTCTGGAAAAATCATCTACCTCTTATCACCCTTCACCGCCACCACCAACACAGCATGTCACTCCCATGAAGAAGGTGGAGCCGCTGACCCATTTATCAAGGAAAGTTGAGCTGCCTTCTGCTTTGTCTACAAGGAAAGCAGAGACCTCCGCGGCAGTGGCTGCAGATGAGGACGATGACGACATCGACCTGTTTGGTAGTGACGAGGAGGAGGAAGACCAGGAAGCTGCCAGAGTTCGGGAAGAGCGGCTCAAGCAGTATGCAGAGAAGAAGTCCAAAAAACCTGGCCTGATTGCCAAGTCTTCCATCCTTTTGGATGTCAAGCCATGGGACGATGAGACGGACATGGCCAAGATGGAGGAATGTGTCAGATCTGTCCAGATGGATGGTCTGGTTTGGGGAGCCTCCAAACTGGTCCCAGTGGGTTATGGCATCAATAAACTCCAGATCCAGTGTGTGGTGGAAGATGACAAAGTTGGGACAGATATACTGGAGGAGGAGATCACCAAGTTTGAAGATTACGTGCAGAGTGTTGACATAGCTGCTTTCAACAAGATCTAACGGCAAACCTTTACACTTTCTAAAGCTAATAAAAGGTCAAGAGTTGGAGAGCAAAAAAAAAAAAAAAGAGTCTCAGTTAAACACAAGAGCCTTGGGGGATCAGGCCAAATACCTGGTTCTCACAGTTGCCAACCAGAGGCCTATTGGAAGCCTGAAAGGGGTATTGCTAGGTTTCACTATTGTTGGAGGAACTATGCTTCTGGGTTCCAGTTTCTGGAAACTGTAGGAGAGGAAAGTCCCTTCTCAGTTCTTGCAACTTCGATTCCAGCTATTAGAATCAAAAGAATGGTGAGGTGATAGATGTATATCATTTGCCAGAGAAATGCTTTAAATTCATGCAAGGAGAGTATTTTAGATTTCTGTGTAGCATCTTGCTCTTTGATATATGAACAATAAGATTAATATGCTCGAAAGCAACATGTTCCCTTGAATTAACAACTAAGCAGCTACTAAAATCACAGCTTCAGAGCAGCAGACAAGAGCTCATATTCTTCATTTCAACCAAATATAATTTATATAGTCGTGGCTTATTGTGCTACTTGTCATTTATTGTGTATGAAATATGGCATGAGGTGAAGTAAAGTTATATATGAGTGGCAGGGGGAGAATAGATTATAGTGTTCAGCCAAAATCGCACACAAAGATTTTAACAAGGCTGTTGTATCACAGGTAAATTGCCTTCAGGTTATTGTTTTTATTGTATAAATAACACTTTTAATATGTCAGAACTTTTACTAGCTTCATGTTTCTTTGCCCAGAGGTATACAGTGCAGCATAATTTATAGAGTTTCATATTTGAATTGGGGGGGAAACCTTGGTTTAAATCCCTGCTCAGCTATGAAGCTCACTGGGTGACCTTGGACCTTTCACTTTCCCAGAGCTTCATATATTTATTGGGATTGTTATGAGGACAAAATAGGGAGGACACTTCCCCTATATAAGAACATAAGAAGAGTTTGTTTTGGTGGTGGTGGTTTTCCATTAGGTTTTGGGGTTTGTTTGATTGTTTGTTTGTGTGTTTGTTTGTTTGTTTTAAACCTATTTCTGCAAATCTTAGGATTCCCCAAGCATACTCATACTTCCCTCTTGCTTCTTAGTAACCTCATTTTACTTCCATTTTGTTGGCCCATGGCTCTTTATGGAAAGATAACCGTAGGCTAAATATTCTATATATTCCTGTCACATTCTATTTGATTGTACAACATACCTTTACTTGTGAAATAACTTGTTTATTTGCATCCCCCCACCCATTAAATACCCTATTTTATTATGATTCTAAACCACATGATTGGCTTGGCATAATTATGTTTACAACTGTATGTAATGTTCTTTACATATCAATTTTCTTTCATATTATTTGTTTACACTACTTTATACCATTTTAAGTACTGCATTCAGTACTTATCTACACATGTCGCACATAATAGAAATAGAATAGAACTGTAGAGTTGGAAGGGACCACAAGGATCATCTAGTCCAATGCCCTGCAATGCAGGAATCTTTCACCCACAACCCTGGGATTAAGAGTCTCATGCTCCACTGACATGTTTTGGTGTAACCCATTACCTGTTATCATAGAGGAGAGGGCTATCAATGGCCACTAGCCAAGATAGCTATGCTCTGCCTCACAGTTTGAGGCAGCAATGCTTCTGAATATGTTTCTGGAGTCCACAGAAAGGGAGAGTGCTCTTGCGCTTGGATCCTGCTCATGGGTTTCCTACAGGCATCTGGTTGGCCACTGTGAGAACCAGATGCTGGGCTATTGCCTTGGTCCAGTAGGCTCTTCTTATGTTCCTGATGACCAGTTGCTATCCATGTCATCATTGTTTCTGTGTTGCAAAATTCCAATAAAAAAAGTGTAAAACAAAAGGGCCTAAGTTTTCTATGAGAGGAAGTGATGCGTAGGCCTAAAGAATCAATAACCACCCCCAGAAGTAAGCATGACTAGGGAATGTCATCCATCTGTCACCAGTTCCTCTGCCATATGCAAGACCCCTCCCCATTATTAGAACCTCGCCTCCCTCCAATTCTTCAAGGCTCTGTCATACACAACCGGCATCTGCCACCATATGAGCAACTCCAGAGAAACCTTTATTGGGAGAAGGAAATTGCTCTTCCTAAACTGGCTTGCTTTGTTTTTATGCGGAAGGCCACTGCAAGTCTATTCTTGGTTAAATTTCAGATGCCCAAAAGTACTAATAGTTGCCATCCACGAATCTTGCAGTTATCATAACATGCAGTGGTCTAGTCTGTTGTACAGAGAAACAAAACAATGGGCAAAGCTCCACTAGCATTACACTGATGTGGAGTTCTGTTTCATAATCATAGACACGTTTATGAGATGTTTTACTGCATCCCTAGGTAGTAAAATCTTATATGGGGATCATGTGCAGCCTGACCTCCCTCCTCCACCCCAGTATAGCTTGATCTAACTGTTACGCAGCTCAGGTGAAGACAGATGGAATTTATAGAGCGGTGAGAAAAACACTCACCACATTCACATAGATCTTCCCCCCCAGTGTTGAGCTCCAGAGCGAAAAAGGTAGCAGAAGCTGCAGACAGCGTTGATTGGCTAGGCCAGTAACAATCCCCCTTCTCCCCCCTCCCCAATGCTTGAAGAAGTTATTGCACTTCAGTAATGACACTGATTTGGTATTGTTACATGGATTCCAAACCTCCTCCCTGCACTATTAACAGCAACGTGCCTTCCGAGTGCTCTTACACTGAAGCAGGCAAAAGCCAATGAAGGCAATAAATTAAGTATACTGCCTTCTCATTTTTCTCTTTCCCTGGCTCCACAAATCCCTCTGAAACACTGACAGCACTGGTACATTGCTAATGGCTTCCATTGGTGTCACTGTAAAGAAGAACTATTGCTTCTGTGCAGGAAACTGAATGAACCATCTAAACACAAACAGCACCATATTGAATCTGAGCGGGCTTTTCACTTGGAGCTTTATAGCTATTTTGGTTCCGAGGCAACATGAGCAATAATGTTAATGCAAGCCACCTGAGGGCTGGGTTGGGCTACATATCTGTGCTTCCCCACTTTGGAGGGGATCACTCTCCTACAGATTAGTTAGATGGCTACAAGGCTTGCCTGAATAAGAGAGTTCTTTTGGAGTAATTATGAATGAAAAGAGCAATGCATAGTTTGGAGGCAGGGTAAATACACTGAGTACAAACAGCAGAGTGGTTCTGCTGCTACACAATAGAGGGTGGCAGGTCTGCATTCATATGGATGGCTCACAGGTTGTACAGGCTCACAAGATACCCACAACACAGAACTCCCTCTTCAAGGTTCCTTAGCATGTGGTCATGATTCTTAAAGGTATGGAGAAAGCAGATAAGAGGGAAGTTTTTGTCCCACTCAAAAGGCATGGATATTCAATGAAGTTGAATGTTGAAAGATTCAGGACAAAAGAAAGTACTTATTCACATAAGGTGACCCTGACCATTAGGTTCAGTCGTGACCGACTCTGGGGTTGCAGCGCTCATCTCGTTTTATTGGCCGAGGGAGCCGGCGTACAGCTTCCAGGTCATGTGGCCAGCATGACTAAGCCGCTTCTGGCGAACCAGAGCAGCGCACGGAAACACCGTTTACCTTCCCGCCAGAGCGGTCCCTATTTATCTACTTGCACTTTGACGTGCTTTCGAATTGCTAGGTTCGCAGGAGAAGGGACTGAGCAACGGGAGCTCACCCGTCGCGGGGATTTGAACCGCCGACCTTCTGATCGGCAAGCCCTAGGCTCTGTGGTTTTAACCCACAGCGCCACCCGCGTCCCTCTTCTTCACATAGTGTGTAGCTAAACTATAACAGGCAGTGATGGCCACCAATCAGCATGGCTTTGAAACAGGATTAAGCAAATTCATGGAGGATAAGGCTTTCAGTGGCTGCTGATCCTGATGGCTATGTTCTGCCTCCATGCTTCTGAATTCCAGCTGCTGGGAATCATAGTTGTGGAGACTGCTGTTGTGCTCAGGTCTGGCTTGTGAGCTTCCCATGGGCACCTGGCTGGCCACTGTAGAATAGGAAGCCGGACTAGATGTGCCACTGGCCTGATCCAACAGGGTCTTCTTATGTTCTCAGCATTTCATGAAATGCTAAGCCAAATCCAGAAATTCCTGCAGGTGGACATGGCATCAGAGTGCTTCTCAGATATTGGAAAACATTAATAATTGTAAAAGAATAGTCCATTTTAGAACACTTGAAGCTGTTATAGTCTCTTGAAATATCATGTGTCCCCACTACTGCTCTGAATTAGATGTAAATAAAACTACTATCTTGCTTTAGTATGAAAGATTTTAAAAAAAAATGTATTGAAAAGTGCAGTTGTGAAATAGTACATTTTCAGGGGAATCAAAATGCCTGTTATAAGAAAATCTAGGAGTTTGTGATATTGCATTTTCTGTAACTGGTAAGAACATTGGATATTTTACTTTGACCCTCAAGCATTCCGAGCAAGAATGATATCCATCCCCTGCAAAGTTTAGCATCTGTTATACAGAGAAAATCAACACATGTTAGAAAAATCCCTTAATCTATTCAGCATTCATTTATGATCTTTATCTTTAAGGTTGTGTCTCTTGGTTGTTGTTGTTTTTAAAAGGATAATATATTGAGCAGTAAATCTGTTAAAAATGGTTTCCTAAAGTTCATTATGTCTCAGAGATTTTAAGGGTCCATTACTGTAGTCTAAGTATAAAAAATCTTGTTGCATTGCAAAGAAAGAAGATTAACTTTGAAGTTCATTCCAGATGTATGCTGCCATGATTCTACTCGGATTATATGCTTTTATTCTGGGTGCAGTCATTACACTCGTGATTTTACAGGCAATTAAGACTGAATCTCAAAATCTTGGTGGATTACGCTGCAACAAGAAACAAAGAAAACATAATTAAGCTTACAACCCTTGTTGATCCTTACACAGAATGTAGTTTGATACATAGAAAATGCCCAGCTGTGTACAGATATTCTTTTCCAATGATACTTCGTTAATCACAACACTCCTGTTTTTCTCCACCCAAACCAGCTCTTTTGCTTGGAT